AGATGTAGTCTACAGAGAGCAGAAGCAGGATGGGAAATAATAATTTTACAAATGAACTGTGATTCAGGAAGAATAACTAAGTGTGTTTAGCGCTGCGGGGAGGAGATCTGGAGCAGGATGCTCAAAGATTAACCAGCAGTTTAGGCTAAAGATAAGCTCTCATTTTTAGGAGTTACGAGTACCAGCAAATACCACATTAAAGGATAAAGAAAGTTATAAAAGCGTAAATCCTGAAAGCATCTATGAATCGCTGATTGGCTTTAAGCTTAGAAGAGAGATAATTGTGAATTATCAACGTGGGTGCAAAGTCTTATAGCTTGAGTTTGCATTGTTGTACTAATATGGGCATGTGCTTCAGTTAAAGAGGAGATGGCTTTTTTCACAGTTGCATGATTTCCTGCAGGACACAAACAGAAGCTGACAGAGGTCATAAGTGACTCAATGGGCCTTTAACACTGAATACATGAGCCGCTAACAAAACATTTCCTAAAACAGAAGCGGTTCATGCTGCTGTTGAACGTATTCTCTCATGAGTGTTAGTCATACATTTATTAAGATTACAATTAGACGATATCTTCTTCTTTGCCTTGAATTCGTAAGCTTCTTGTTGCTGAGTGTGTTTATTACTGTTTGAGATTAAATAAAGACTTATTCATTATGTCCACTAACATTATTTTGGGGGCTAAACTGGGTCAGTCAGTCACTAGTACTGTTTGTGTTGAGATATGGTTAAAAAGACTAAAAATACTGATAAGATACTGAAAAGACCAAAATAATAATACTTATACTCAAAGTGATCATTTAGCTGGAATCCATGTAAAAACGACACAGGTGTAAAATACCAGATGACGTTTTTTTTTTTTTTTATTTCTATTTAGTGTATGACATTTAGTTGAGTTGTGAGTCCAGCAGATGTTCAACTGTCTTTGACTATAAACTGATTATGAAGCCCATCTATTTGCTTCACTTCCTGCTACATTTTATTTTACAAGGTTATGAAATAATAAGATTTTCAGTCTCAGAGAGTGAAAGTGATGTCAGGTTAGTATTCAGCATGGAGAGGTAGAGTCAGTTGGATCAGCGCATCCCATCACTGAATCAACTACTAACCGAATATTTCCTAAACAGAAACCGCAGATATTTTGCTGGTTTCGTGTATATTCTCATCTGGCTAATACTCTAATACACTAACACAGTGATTACAGCGATATGATACCTTCTTTGTTGCCTCGGCTCTGTGAGCGACGCACTGCCGAGCGCGTTCATTAGCATTTGAGATTAAACGAAGCATTATTCAATTAGATCGGTGTAATCTGTCAGCTGTGTTGGCTTTACGCAAAGTTTTAGTGATTAACACCCCAAACTAACATGTTTGTCCAGGAAAATGAGTTTCTAATCAACAGGAAGGTTAACAAATGTAACTTATTAGCATATTTATTGCTCACATCTAACACTGAGCAAGGTGTGCTTGCATCTGAATGAATCACCCGCTAACACGAACGTCTTTGTTAAATCCCTCTGCCGTCTCAGAAGCTGCTTTGTTAGAAAAGGATTATTCTTATTCCTCATTCTCCTGTCATGAAAATAAACATCTGATGTGAATATAGATCTGCTGAGGAAGTGAAAGGAGCCAGTAGTAATTCTGTTTCTGCTCGCCCGTGGTTTCAATTTGCTAACCGTCGTCAGTATTTGACACCAGATGAAAAATGTTAATCAGAGCAGTAAGGGCTTAAAACCAAGTGAGAGTCACATTCACACTCATTCATGGAGATGTAGAGCTAAAGAGTTTCTGTGCGCAGCAGCTGCTGATTAAAGCATGAATAAAGTAGAGGCCAGGCGCTTTAATATTTTATTACCACTGGTGCACTGCTTTCCATTTTTATTCCTTTTTATTGCCATCTTCAAATATGAGTGTCCACCAGCCATATTACTGACACTGGCAGGATGGGGGGTATCGTTTTCACCTTGTGAGTCTGTCTGTGTCTCGCTGTGGCAGAATACAATCCTGTTGACAACTACTGCAGCGAGAACTACCGCAGATGGTGGCTATGTTAATTTCTGTTGACAGATATTGTCAAGACAACGACGTCATAACTATCAAAGATACAGTCAGGAAGCTTACAGGCGTGTAGTTAACCTCTTAAACGACTTATCCAGGTTAATGACCATCCTGTTTTTTGTCATCAATGACTTGGCTGATTTTAAGATGTTAAGTTCCATGATGAGTGTGGTCTATCCTTGATTGGTATGGAGCACTAATTCCACTGAAATTAGAGGAGAGGCAGCACAATTTATTCATGGACGGGATCCAAGAAGACGTAGTAAGATGGTGTTTAATAGGACTTTCAAATGATGCAAAATATCCTAAAA